CACTCATTTTCTGAAGTTGTCGAAGTTTTATCCAACTATTCAGGTGCATAACTGGACACATTTGCTCGTAACATTTCCAAAGTCATTAGTGTCAGGTCAGTGATACTGAGTGATTCGATTCTCTATGTTAGGTGTTCACTATTTCACCACAGTGATTTGAAGAATGACTTGCGATTCCCTAATCGTGCAAACTGATGTGGAACGAAAAGGCCGACGGCCTGCAGACAAAGTGAAAAGCGTGGGCAAACTATTTAAAGAATTCCTTACTCGCCCACCCAGATATTCCTGGGAAAGTTGAGCAGAATCAGAATCTACTTTTGCAACGGATTGTCCACACCTGACCGGGAACTTTTATGAGCCCATTGTGGGAAATGTTCTGATGCTGTGTCATTCATTCAGTCCGGTAAAACAAACTGAAGGTATTAGTGCTCAGGTAATGGAAAACCGTCACAAAAACATCATCACAGATGAACCAAGCCCTAAGAATTTTCATCCTTTGTTTTTAAAGGTATCCGCATAGGTCACGTGCAGATCGTCCTTGCAATGCACAAATAGGTAAGTAATAAAACCGGACGCTGGTTTGATGGCTGTTTTTTTAACCCTAGATAAACGCTCCCTATTGATAGTCCATAAGCATCACGATGAAATCATATTTTATGCTCAAACGAGACCAAGGCAAACGGTTCGGAATCCAGAAGTGAAGAAAAACTATTTTCGCCGGTTACGTACAACGTATAACTGCAGAAGACCTCCGGTCTCAGACAGTTGTCAAAGCACCCGCTGCTCCTCCGAGAGGACTAGGATACCTGAGGATGGATCAAGACATCTGTCACCCAAGTGAAAGGGATATGCAAATTTTGAATGACTGCACGTGTTGAGACATAATTAGAGACATTTTCAGACATGGCCCAGTCGCGCCGTCAATGGCGCTCGTGCCTCCAAGCTATTGCCTTCAATGCATAGCTCCTTTTCCGACCCCCCTTCACTTGACAGCCCACTGACAGTGCTGGATTTATGCACCAATTTATTAGCTCCCGCCTGCAATGCGCAGCTATCCACCCCTCCCCCCAAATCATCGGTGAACGAAACTGCGCAAGCTACAACCACTGTACGACGAGTACGCGGTTATTGCAGCTGACGATGGTGATGATCCAACTTGATCTCTGAGGCTTTACCAAGTTCCCACAGGTTGAGATCTTCATGCTATATCAGTGGCGGTGCGAAAGAACGCGCCTGTGGAAACTTTGTGCAGATTGTATTTGGGGCTTTCACGAGTCTGAGGTTTTGTCATTTGGTGGTCGTGATAACGGTGTATTACCACTGAGTGTTTCTCATGTTGGTTTTATGAGCACCGAGGCGGTGACATTGGCTGTTACTTGTGCAATCTTGGTTGTGCTGGATAGAAGGCAACCTTAATCATTAAGGCTAGTATTCAGACCACGCTATGATAACTAAGGTATTGTCGTTGAGGTCGTTGGACCAGACGTCGCTGATAACGCTTGATAAGATTTTGCGGTATCTTCGTTGGGATGCTTTAGGTTTCCTGCGTTCGTCTGATAGCGAAATGGAGTCCCACTAACCAGTACTCCATCGTCGCTTCGAGGTTATCAGGTATCTAACCCACACTCTGCAGTCTTAACCTGGAATTTTTTGTTTTATAACTTGTTTGTATCCGTAATATTACCACTGTTAGGAGTACAACGGTCAGGACAAGCCATGACCTAAGGACATTCTTGCAATGGCTTGATAATGGCTTAACAGAACCAGGGTTGCATCGGTCTTTATGGTCCAGGTAATCAACCTTCGTTGATTTTGTCAGTTGAATACGAAGTTTAGTCGGTTTAATCTCCGGACCTCTTGCCTATACCGTGTACCAATTCCAGTTTTTCCGTAACGATCCTTTCCATGTACTGAATGCCGACTGCTCTCTACTGTAGCGAAACATTACTCTCATTCCAGGTGGTCCCGGCTCTGGAAGAAGTGAACAAGCTCGAGCTCTTTGTGAAAGGCTTCCCGGTTTAAAGCACTTTAATGTGACTGAATTTCTGCGGAATCGTGTTCTGGATCACATTGAAGGTGACAGCCAAAAAGACTGGGATGTTGTCGCTCGGCGGGTTCACAGCAGCGATCCACCAATGCCAAAGGTAGGTTGTCATGCTGTGGTCGCTTAGGCGTGCAATCACTTTCGTCTCTGTTCAAACTCAAAAGGTGGGTGTAGAGGGACGGGCCATCTGAGTGAGTTGATGACGGTTATCACGGATCAAGCGTCTCCCAACCATTCTTCAGCTGGTCAGCTTGGTTTAGGTGTGGTTCTTTGTCTATCAAGCTGTTGACGAAAAAAGACAATAATGTCAGCATATTATTATATGAGTTGTCAGAAAGTCTCGCCTGAATAGTCATCCATACTCGTGGATGACTTGGTAATCAGCAGACTATGAACCTATATTTTCACTGCATTGCCTGATCCCCAGGTGGGGTGTGTGGAGACACTTGTTTTTGGAAGAGACAGCTTCACCCTTAGCCGATTAGTCTTGGAACTTGGTTCTTCACTTCAGTGTGGTGAAATTTGATTCGTATGCTGTTGAAGCCACGTTTTACAGGAAAATGACAACGGATTTGTTGTACTAGTATAGCTCAGCAAGCATTACCACTGATTCTGTAGAATACTTTACAATGATTGGTTGTTGACAAAGCAGGATGGTGATCTATTTCCATGGTTGTTTGGAAGGAGCATAAGGTTTGCACTGTAGTACTTCTCGGCTAAACAAGATATTCCCGTGTCGTTGCCGATAGAAGCCATATCAGTAGAGGCAGAATCGTTCACCCCAACCAACGTAACCATTTATTGCACTTTCCAGTTTTCTTGGATACGGCTGAGAATAAATGAAGCAAACTTGACTATACATACCTCCTTGTAGTACGGATTCATACGTGCATTTGCGTGCACGATTGATACCAACGTGAGATTTAAGGAGGCTTTCCCTGGTGGACGGGGTGAGATGGCTTGGTGGTTAGAGTGCGAATTCCGTGGTTCAAATCCGACCTCTATCTCTCGACTTCCCCTACCTAGGCTTGAGCGAATTGGCAGCATCCCAGCTTTCGTGCTTCCTTCTGATGACGTGGCAGCTAGCCGCCGAAAGAGACCTAAATCTAAGCGATTTTTTCAGGTGAAACGAGGCAATTTTTTTCCACTGCGTTCAGCAGATCGAACTCTTTTATGTGAAGTACAATCAACTCCAACCGATTTGATTGGCAGTTGAATAAACCTATTTTAACTATAATAGCACTTAGTATTGCTGGAAATGCCTGTTGATTTTCTGTCCACTCTACAGGATCGTATTATTCCAGAATATTGGGTAAGTTTATGAAATCCGTTTACAGATGTTTCATTTCGTTTGTTGTCAATCTCTTGCTCGAATCGGTCTTGACACTGAGACCGGTCATTTGAGTAGCATTTTACTGGGACCACATGTTCTTCGCTTCTAATTCTAGCGTTTGCATGTGCTAATCAAGAGATGCTAATTTAGACAACATCTTAGAATCATTTGCTTCAAAGAAATAATCCACTTCCTGTTGAACTACTTTCGAACCTAAGCTGTGATTCGGTACGACATTAGATCATTGGTGAACTTCTCGCGAGGACCCAAGATGTGTTTCCAGGATGAAAGCAAATCATTACCATGAAGAGTGCTTCACTCAACAGGAAGGATATTCAAAGACGTAACCGCTATCTTCGCACTGTCTCGAAATAAAACCTCAACGTTTCAGATGCACCACATTCCAATTGCGAACGACTCGAGTGTATATTTTTGACTGGCGCGCAGATACCTTGAAGCTGATGCACATTATACCATCGGCCTGTGGTGGGTTTTTTGAAACGCTCCAAAACATTTCATGCAAATCCGGGACTCTTATAATGAGCACTTTAAAGCATTCGTTGTACATATGGTCAAGCCACACTTGTTATGGGCATAGTCCGAAGATTTGTTGCTTTGTTGTTTACAGCGTTGAGTTGATAAAGTAACTTGTGTCGATGCTGATTTGCTATGAACTCCCAACGAAGTGACTTTGTACCATTTTGGACTGCCGTTTTCGTTGTCATTTGTTACCGTTACCAGCACGTATATGAGCGTGCTGGTTTGGTGTTTTGGCTGCCACCTTTGCTACCGGTGAAGCGAAAGATACGCCTAGCCAAAGCAAGCTTCTTAACCTATTTAGATTCAGATTTGTTCGAATCACTGCCGTGCTACACCAACTGTAAAATGGGATCAGCAGGTCTTGAGGTGTTTAATAAACTTGCAGAGTCCCACGACAGTTGAAGGCTTGGGATTCTTCGAAAATGTTTTGCTGGCCATCTGAAAAATGAGGCAAAAAAGGAGAGAATCCATTTCGTTCAGCCTCTGCATCCACTACCGCATGCTGGTGGATAACCTAACCGTTATTTTTCCCCTTCTGGGGACGTATTCGCCCGAAGGACTGAGGACTGCACGGTTCACACAAGAAACATCCAGCTGTCAACTCCTTTATAGTTGATCCACGCTAACTAGCTGAGCTCAAATCGTGATCGCAAAGTGTATTAGGTGTTTAAAAGTGCAAACGTTTTGTCATCGCCTATGGTTTTAGTGGTGGTTACCGAGAAACTCTTGAGCCCGTTTTATTTTCCGTCACCAATGCACCCAAGTTCTGAAAAGTTTGAATGTGTGTATGTAAAATTGCAAAGCACTACAAATTGAGAATATAGAAACAGGCACCATATTTGAATGTGTTCATTCGTCACGCAGCCAATTATATTTATGAGAAAACTCATCGCCATAAGGTATCACTGTGGCCAGGACGTGAAATCGATCCGTAGTTAGTAACCGAGTTGATTTTGGCCTACAGTTTTGTGCATTTTTCATCTTACTGGAGCTACAAAGAAGGGCTTATCGACCATTGTTCTTTGATTATCATCGGAGCCCCATTACGTGAATTACTTACTCTCATTTCGTCCTCTATTCCCGCCAAGAACGTGCAAGTCGACATACTCAGACAAGAATTTAACACTGTTGCTGAAAACACCAAGGCTGTTGTTATAGAAGGATTTCCGAATGATGAGACACAGCTGAACATTTTCAATCAGCATGTGAGTTTTATTTGTAACCGTCTAGCCAAGTTTAGTAAGCTCTGTAAGCTATTCAACTGCGATCACTGTCGGTCTACCCCTCCACTAGTTGATTTGCCATCAACGTAAAAAAATTTTTTTTCGTGAAAAATCCACAAGCCCCGATGGTTGTGTGGTGCACTTTACCGAGGGGATTTTTGTAGATCAGATTCAAAGATCATGTGGTGCACATTTTCAGTCTAACTGAAACAGTCATTTGACCTATTTGGACACCTGCAGAATAGTTAGACACCTCACCGGATACTACCTCTCAGTCTCTTACATCCTCGCTATTTTCTATCAATTTATCATCGAAAATCTCACAAAGCATTCGGGCACCTCAGATGTGTTCAGAAGACACTTTTCATGCATGTATGATTTCCATTTGGACGTACTGAAATAATTAATGGTCCAGCCATAGGAAAACGGGATTTTGGCATGAGCTGATAACGAATGGGCATCAAACTCTTTGTAAAGAAAATTCATCCTTCACTGAAGTGTCTACTGAAGATTGCTGGTAATACGGACCCACAGTGAAGATATTTTCCCATTCTTTGAATAGAATAAATGCGCCACCACTCGCATGATCTTGCTTACGCTGCGTTCGACTGTCAGAGTCCTGATGCCCACTCTGTTCAATAGTGGTTGGAGGCCACGAAGTGGCAGCACTAAACTATCCTAAACGATGATCAGACTCATGTCAATTTAAGGTCACACTGTTTCACAGATGCTGTTACTACGCAGGATCACAATCGACAGTGTACTTGACACTAATAGGTCAATTATAAATGCCCTAAAATCATGTGGCGATCATGTGAATGAATCAGCCAACTAGCGGGCTATGACAGAACAGTGTTCCTTTAAATTCTATTTTTCTTCATGGCACACAGCCTGTTGGCCACAATCGTTCAGCTTCATCCATCAGTAGTTGAGCTACACGAAAAGCATGGATGGTCCTGTGAGTTCTTCGTAGGGTATATTTTAGATAAATCCACCCTTACAAGACCACTGCACTAGTCTGAAGTTTTGTTGATTATTACTGGATGACTAACATGAATACACCTGAGCGATTGTATTGAGAATTCTATCCGTATCACTCTCCTGCTTAGACAGGTTTCTCATCACAGCGTTCGGTTCGTTTTCTATGTAAAAAGTAATGTACTTCTGAGTATCTTCATCGGTTGCAAACTCTTGTGGAAGTGTAGATGGTCTGATACAGCTCTGTTTTTTTAATGGAAATTCAGCGCACTCCTTTCGGCCTATTTCGTTCTAGATTGGCGGCGCCGACTTGGCTGTTTTACTTGACTGCGAAGAGAACACACTGCAGAAACGTTTATTGAAGCGATACACCAGGTTGTCCAGGACAGAGGACGAGGAGACTGTAGCATTGCACAGAATTCTCTTCTTTAAACATTGCACGCTTCCAGTTATCCGCCACTATGATGAGCGCAGCACTCTGGTTACGGTAAGCAAGTGTGAATCAGCAAAAGGTGTAAACCTTCCTTGTAGATCCCTGCCGATCGGGACCAAGAATTGGTTTTAAATGATGTGGTAACGGTTGTAGAATATTTCCTTGGCAAGGTAATCAATCATTCAGACGGCTCTCAACTATTTACCCTTCTTTACCCTTTAGCAAGAATGTCAAAACAATAATTCTGCCGTTACGGTACCTTCACACGAAATACAACCTTTGAGTGAAGAAACTAAGGTGAGCACGATACCATAGCCTTAGCCTCCCAGATCCTAAGTGAGGAAGCTAAATCCAACCTTATGGAGCTTCAAATCCACAAAAGTACTCTTCAACGCCACTGGATTGTTTGGTTTGGTTTACGAACTTTGGTAAATGCTTGAACGACGTGCTGGTTCATGACTAAGGAAAAGAATAAAGGTTTACAAAAATCGCAGGGGTTCTCTTGTTCCGCAGGACGACGACCTCTCCTGGGTTTGAGCTGGATCAGCGCACTACGGACGTCTCTTTGTGTGAAAAAGGAAGATGAACGTGGTATAGACGTATACATGAAAAAGGCTACAAACTGGCATTTCTTAATAGATGTCAGCCAGCACTTTGCAGAATGATATCTGGGTTACGAAGGCGGTTATTACTTTCACTTTCCAAGACACAGACCACCGGTTACTTGAATATCAGTCTCACGAGCTAAGGCGAACCCATCATAGTTCTGTGCTTAAACTCACGCGATCAGGGAGTTCGAAACCTTTCAGTTATCCTCGTAAGCTTGAGGAAAACCTCTCATTGACGAACGTATCCAAAGCTTCGCTGCATGTCGCTCTGATCTCATTCGAAGCGTTTACTTCATTACCGAAGGTTCTGAAGCACTGCGACCCGTCACCGTATTTTCTTTGACCAAGAGCCAAAACCCGTAATGCTGCATAATTTTTCATACCAATGTATCTGCTGCAGCGAGATCTTATTTGAGGAGAAGAGTTTAGTCTCAGTGGCTCACCAGATTCTTTTGAATGTGACAGGGCCTTCACCGCAATTCCTAATGAATATGTTTTATCCAGATTCTTTTTTTACTTGTCTACTTTTGGTAATGAGTCTATTTTGTTTCTCTTGCTCGCCTAATGGATAATTACCCCATCACAAAGATTGTTTACCTGCGGACACCACGCCGAAAATCTGTTTTTTTTTGGGGGGCGGGGGGATTTGTTTCCAAACCCATCAGGGTTCCCAACCACTAACCCACCGCTACGCACAACTACGCACTGATGATGTCACCTCGATTGGTGATGAAACGTTTGCAACCAAATTGCCCAGCTCAGCGAACAAGCCAACGACCATTAACTTCCCTGTGTTCCAAACAACCTTAACGGCCATCCGGGTCTTTATTTTCATGTGATGTCTCCCTGTAGGGGATTCTCAGCGAAATAATAAACTGCTTGTGAAATGATTTGCAGTGCATGTGTTTTTGAACAAATATATTACCTTCGCATCACCAACTTCGTTCCAGCATTGTAAGTGCGGATTAATTCGATTACAACGAACGCGACGTTTGATTCTCGTTGGGTTCTCTTCAGCGTCAATAGCATTTCAAATACACAGACTATTGTACATCATTTTGGAGTTAGGGTCGTCGCATGTTGACTGCAAACTCAATTTTCTTCCCAAATCAGACCGTTGTTTCCACATCAGATGAGCGGTTCGCGCCATCTCGAACTCACCTGTGTAGGCTAGAGCAACTAGGCAAAATTACAGCCTTCATGCTCCCTCTGGTCTGGAGTGGTGCAGCCGCATACTATTCTGTAATACACATTACCAGCCTACTTTGGTCAAAATCAGAATCATTTGACAACGTTGTCTACCCGGAATATAGGTTAACGGGATTAGGGCATCATTGTGCTGTAACAGTAGCATTGTGAGGTAACAGTGTGACGAACCGGTGCGCACAGCTGTGCTTTTAATTAACGACACAAGCTTTCCCTCAAACTGCACTCCTTTCTGCATTCGGGCTAATACCATACAACTTAAGGGAAAGTCTAAAGAACAATACATATTACTAGCTAGCCCTCCGTTCGAAAATCAAAATGCTTGTGATATGTATTGCTCACCTCACGCAAACTATTTCGCTTTAATTGATCGATCCGGCATTTCGTTTACTCATTTTCTCATATAATGTTGTAAATATAGGGAAGCGTTTATGGAGTCGGTCGTCTATCTTAGCCAATGATTTCACTGATATTTCGAATGCTCCTCCCACTTCAGTCTCCAAATGGAGTCGGTAAGTTGGAATTCCTCTGCGCTTACGCATCCGTTATTGCTCGTATCTTAGTGTCAGTGTTTTCGGATACACCCTGTTGTCATGGTTTTTGAAAACAGTCTGATTTTATCCCCTCGCATACCTCTAAAGTTTTCACTTAAATTGAACAAGCATCATTCAGAGGGCGCATTGTCCACCAAGAGAGCGCAGTGGCTGGGAAAGATACCATAAAATGGCTCGGCAACATGCGTGCACTAATCTTTGTTTTTCATCACTTTGTTTCATTAACCGGGACCAGGCGAATTGACATCCGATCTGGGGCCGTATCCACAAAGGAGAACATTCCAGTTTTAATCCTGATAAGGAGTGAACTTCACAAGGCTAAATTCAGAGTAACGTACATTTGTTTTGTTTTTGTTTACATACGGTTAAACTGCTCTTTTCACTGACCTTCATTGAAAGAGTCTTTGGCAGTACACAGACAACGAACGCTCCATCTTTGTGCCAAAAGATAGTCATCAACAGCAGAAGGGGGCCATAAAAAGTATCGACTGGCGTGAAGAATGCTAGTGTCCCAATGGGATTCAAAAGGTTTCATAATTCATGGTCTTTCCAAAAACACTAGAGTTGTCTTTTGTGGTGGTTTTTGTGCTGAAGTTTGTCAGATTTGTTGTGTATTGTGCGAAGCGCTACTGAGGCCACGCTTTCCCGTTTGTCTTTCACACAAATTAGAACGCCCGGTGTTCCAATAAGCATATTCCAAGATGGCTGTTCACTGAGTGTTTTAACTACTAACATACATTTCGTACAGAAAGGAAGCGAATAGCTGTTGAGATCAGCACAATGATTAGTGTACTTCACGGTATGCGAAATTCTCCATAGCTCGTCACTAAGGATGATCTTGCATATTCATTCGATTCTTCAAAGGCTTCGTCCAACATCCATTCGCGTTGCCCATCTTCAGTTCATTCACATTATCGGTTGGGCCCCTTCAGCTATACGAGGACTTTGTCACTTTGTCCAACACGCTTTTAAGTGCACCTATTTGCTTCCAGAACATTCTGGTAACCAAGTATACGGGAGTAAATCGACGGTTATGTTGAATAAATAGTACGGATTGGGTGTGAAGTTTTCTTTTTGCTCTTCACAGAAGAACGGAAACAGGTAAGAATCCAGATGTAGGGGTCGATCATGAGTTCCGCCTGGGTTAACCTAATAGTGGTTATCCATAACAGCAATGGCATCCCAAGCCAAGAAGTATTTCTCGTCTTAAATTCCCGATGCTTTCCTTTCTTATGCGATGTCGAAAACAGGACGAGCCACCTGGAACACCCAGGTTCCAGCGTTCATTATAAGTAAACATCAGTTTCTTTTCTTCGTGATTCTATAAAGTATAATCTGTTTGTTCGAGTGTATCAATCATGGGACCTCCCTCACCCTTGTGTTCCTGCTCAGACCACTTACTGACCCTCAAATCCAGACTGGAAGGCCTATTTTGTATTTGAGGTAATTGTTATCAGATTATGAACGGCTATCAGTCAGCGTTACTGTGCATTATAGATAAAAACTTGATTTCTCTTGAATCTTGTCGGAACCTCTGTGTAGGAAGTTGTCCAGAGAAAACTTAACCAGATAATGTTTTGTTGAATTGAATTCATGTCTCATTCCAGCAGTCATGTGGATGTGGCTGCTACCTACCAGCTAGCTTGGATGACGTAGTGTTTTGCCCTCGTAACAGCATAACTCATCAGTAAGTGCTAGTCAGTGAAACCGGGAATAACTGATTGGATGCGTGGGCGTCGGACCCAAGAACATTATTCATTGGGGTGGTGAAACAACCTCAATAGTGTTTCACACTGTCTTCACGTAAGCTGATTGTTTAGAGTTTTCATGCACACTAAGTAAACACTGTTGTTTGGATGCCGTGCTGAAAGTCTGAAAGGTGGAATTTGTAAGGGGGATTTCGAGGAAAACGAATTGGCCCATAGGGCTTCGTACACAACAGTTATATTGCCTAAAGTCCCGGAACTCTTCGTACTCCTGCTTAGCTACGTATATCTACTCATGTCAGCTCTTTCGTTTTATGTCAGTAATCTCTGAACCATATGGAGTGGGGATCGGACAACGTATCTGGTGATCCGCCTGTGGAGAAAAGCATCAACCGATCCCATACCATAGGTCGGGATGTGCCTTATCAAAGTAATAACTCTACCCATTTACTTGAAGGGAGTTTTTTCCACTGGACATCACTTATGTTTAAAATATATTCCAACCTTTAATTTTGTATCCTATTTTCCCCATAGTCGGAGGCCATCCGTCGGAACCTGTTGTGATCTTTGTCGTCGGTAAGTTAAGGGTTCGAATAGATCTTTGCTGTTAGTTTGTAGACAACATTGTTGATACGCAAAGACTGAGTCCAATATGATGACATACTGACTCCCCAGTTCATTTACCTGGTGCTTCTGTGCTTATCAATTTCAACTTATGTGTTAATTGTCACGATCTATGTACCTGTCACCGATCTTGTCACACTGACCGTCCGGCCCTACACCGGAATGCTTGCATATGTGTCAATGCCCTTGGTCACCCATCCGTGTTCATCCTCAGCCTGGCTAACCAGTTCTGACATCTCCTTCGACGGCACCCGACTAGTCGTGCCACCAATCATAAGACTGATTACAGATAGGATGATCGACAGCTTACACTATCGAGCCACCATTCCGCATGCATTGTTCATATTGTGACGCTGTGCTGTACTAGACTTGCGTGCTCGTCCGCATGAACGTCGACACTTGGGGTTTGTCCTACACATCCGCTTACTCGTAGTGCCATAGATTTTCGAACCCAAGTCTTCTTTTTGATATTTTGGATCGTATGACTCAAGAACGACATCCGAAAATCAATGTTGGATTCGAAAGCGTTTTCGACATAAGTAACATTACAGGATTGGCGTTTTGGTCGCTGCCGGATTAAAGAAGCTCTGGAGAGTTTTGTCCAGAGGACAGTCCTTTTCGTACCCACTCATACGTCAAAGTGACCAAACAAAGGACTTATGCTTCATAAAAACGGGTTCTGAACCTGAAACGTGTACCCCTAATCACTACAGGCAGTGATATGCTAAATACACCACGTAACCAATCATTCGACAGAACTTGACTCGGGAACCGTTTTTCCCTATTTAGGGTATTAACAATTGTACCGGGGATGATAGTGTTTTAGACGTCCAGGTACGTAATTTCATATCATCAACTTTAACAGAGCTATCCTTACGGTATGCAGTTTCCCGATTTATTCCTTAGTCGGCCCTCAATCTTACAGTTGTTTGCAGTTTTCGACTATTTTAGACAGTTATTGAGTCTTGACTTCAAGAGCAGGACCACCCTCATTGAACTTTGGAACTTAATTCTCATTTGAAATCCGTCAAATCCTGCCTAAGTTTCCAAAATTTTACTCCCTATACTTTTTACCGTTGCCTTGTTCGAGGCAATGCATCGTCAAGAACGTACTTCATCATTGATTGCTTCTTATTGATTTATCTATTAGCTGATATGAATGAGATTTAGACTTAAAATATGGAAATACAAACGCAGTTGACTAAGCTAGCAAGCTAGGAATTTAATGTATACGGACGCTTTGTGAGTGTCCCACACTACACAAACTACACTCATCCTCTTGAGTGCGAAATTATTCAGTCTGGTTGCTTTTGTTCACTTACACGACAATCAGCAGACAGCCAAGATGGTCGTGTGATGATTGGCGGCACATCCGATGTTGATTGGTTGATTGTCTTTCAAACATCGAATTCATTTGTCTTGACGCTTTGGAAGCTTGTTTACCCCAACTGGTGGTCACAATTCTCTCAAGTCCGTGTATTGTGGGGTCGGAGCAGTAATACCTTCAGCAATGAAGTTAACTTCACTTAGAGCAATGCGTTATGCCACTGGACAGACTAAGAACGGCCGTTGTCACACTAAGTGGTCAGCGTAAAAGAGATCTCATAAAAATCCAAAGTTGTCTTCAAACATTTACTTCCATTGATCTTTGCTCCCTCAGGCGATCCACAAAGCGGGAAAACAACACAGGCCCGGAAGTTGGCAGAACATTTTGGCTACAACTATTGCCTTTATAAAGTGATCGAATACGAATCAGTGAGTATCCTAACGATGTTCTGATACATGATGTATGTTTGAACCGAGGTGCTTTGTACTTTAGTACAGTCAATCATTTCATTCGATGCAGACGTAAAAAGCCTGAACTATGTAAGTGCACCATGATAATTAATTATGGATCATACTCATTAAATTCGGTATTTCTTACACCAAGCCCCAATTCGCTTCCGGTCCTGGCTGTGATTACCATCATGATCATGATCATCATCAGCTGTCAAATTCGCATAATTCCCGTACAATGGTTATAGCTGTCACAGTTTTGTCCGCCGTTCTCAATACTAGACATTAGTATTCGCTCATTGTCATGGCTTGTTCTTACCAAGCCCTGAGCGTGACTTCTTATATCCTGAGAGGAGTAAATATGGTTATTCACCTGCGAAAATATAGGAAATTAGGAGCAGTTGTCTGTCATGTTGACAAATTGGAATCAACCACTTCAATCATTTCTGCCAGAGGTCGGTGGTCGCCTGACCTTAGTCCTGAGTACGAACTGTGAATCCGAACGTCAGATACTAAATTAGGTTGATGAGTCCCAGTCAAGACACGCGGTTGATCGCATTTTCAGGACTGACCATATCTTACTTCTAAGATATTCGGGGGGAAAATAATCGCTCAGATGTGTCACCCTTTCTGTGCGTAACTGCCATGCGACCCGAAAGAAGCTCAAGCCCAAACAGGAGTGGTCGAGATGCGGAGGGTTCGAACTGCGGACCTTGCGGTAAGTAATTATGCCTCTCATGGCTCGATAGATAGATAGTCGGCAGATAAATGCGCCATTTATATGTGGCTTCTTGACCAGTCATTGTATGAGGTACGACACTTTGTTAGCTTACACTTACAATTAATGATTCTCAATTGGTAACCGGTTATTCAACCATGAACCCATGAAACCTGGCACAACCTAAATGTAAGTCGCTGCGCTTAACTGTTTCGCATTTAGATACCCTTTCGCAGTGATTGACCAAAGGGCAGATGTTAACTCAGTTCTGTGGTACGTTTCAGTGTCCCGTTAGCCTTTCAAAACTGCATCTGTTCACCTATCGTTGCGATCGTTCTTCTCGGGAGAAGGACACACGGCAAAACATGTAATCTTAGGATGCCCCCTCGAAAACAACTCAGATCCAATGGGACAAAAATGCTACAAAGGCAGTTATTCGAACGAAATGACTGTCGACCGCAAAAGCCCCTCTATTTCACCACGTCTACATGTGTATCTGATAACGTTCGTGCCAACGATTTGACATTTAGCAATCAACATTCGTGTCGAGTCAGTGTGATTCGGGATATTTCACTTATTAATTCAGAAAGTATCAAACTTTCCATACGACGCTTCCGGATTTGCGGTAAGAGCTTAAATGCGAGAGAGTACACTATCCCAGAATGCACGTTAAACGCGCTGGAACGTCAACGAACAAAGATGTAACTATGGACTATCACCTTGGTCATATTGTGTATATTGGATTCTATTGTCCACTGCTCTAAACTACTATGCAGTAGGTCATTTATTCCTTTACATTCCAATGAGAAAAGAAGCTCCTACTTGTCTTATCCCTTTGGGGCGAGTGAGATGGTTCAAGTGGTTAGAGCGCGAATTTACTGACCGGAAGCTCCGTGGCTGCCTCTGCCTCTCGATTTCCCCTGTCTAGACGTGGGCAACCTGGAAGTACCCAAGCCCTCGTGCTTCCCTCAGGTGGCATGGCAGATAGACCCTGAAAGTGTGTTGCAGCTTAACAATTCTCCCTCTGGGATCCGTTCGTTTTATTCTGTTCACAAAACTTAAGCTTTCCGAACCAATTCTCAGACGACAGTCACAACTGATTTGAATCGCCTTAACTACTGTTGTGACCCGTTTTTGGTGGTTTTCAGGTTGAGAGGATGACTTTTAGAACACTGGGAGGGTTCTTTTAGCTCGACACCCAAACATAATTTCCTAATCTGATCCACAGTATGATACCCAACAGGTGGCAATCACGCTGTCGACATTAGGCAGTTGTTTCGGACGGTCTGCAAATTGACGGCTTATCGAACTCGACTAATCCAACACTGAACTCGTAAAACGGCGACGAGGCTCTGCTTGAAACTCCAGCATGGCCTCGTTCACTTCATCTGTGTTTAAATCCGTATTAACTCATACGAAACAAAGACCGTTTGGTGTCGCGAATTACAAAGTGATTTATGTACACGACTACTATGTGAACCTGGTTTATTCATCTGTGTAGTACCTCTTTCTTGAAATTTGCGCTGGCTATCATCTGTTCGAGAAAAAAAACTGTGGAACTGTTCACTGATGATGTTTCTCTTCTAGGGTTCTGTGAAACCGTTCCTGTGGAAACATTTCTATGAAAACGGCAGTTTTCTCAAGGGGCTCGTGGTTGACGAACTTCCCTTTGCAACAAAGGAGAAACTCACGGTTGAAAAAGAGGTAATTGAGATTTTCGGTTTTCTCGTCACTAGCCGACTCTACATATGCGCGTTTTGAAAAAAACAACGCTTGCCGATATCTGCAATCGGCATTTTCCACAAGTGATGCTCAGTTGTTTTCAATGGGGTGTCATCACAAGCAGGAAGGCCGCCGTTGAAGTATGATAAGTTCGGCTGTCTTTTTCTCCGTCCCTCGTCCATAGACGAGGGTCTGACTAGTCACTTACATTCAGCAAACAAGTGGAGTACCGTTGGAACCGTGCATCCACTGAGTTGACGTTCACAGTTCTAACGAAACTATCATGGTGTAATTGCTTTACCCGACACTTAAATGTACTATTAAAGGACCCAAAACAGTTTTTTTCGAAGTTTAACTTTTGTTCGCACTTGCTGGAAACAGCTACGGTATAGTGTTGCTAGTGTGAGGGGATTTGTGAATTTTCAATGGAAATTTTGTCTTCTGGACAAAGTCAGTCCATACTGAAAGGTCGAGGGTCTCGGTACAGTTATTTCATCTTTACTAACAACTATCCCTCGACTAGTTTGAGACTCCTTGGAATTTCGTGAGATGCTCAACCAGGGGAGCGAAATGCGGCACGCCTAAACGGTCAGAACATCAGCTCAATGCTGTTCCAACTGTTCAGGCGTGCTTGAGTCCGGTGAAACAGTGCTGTTCCTATAGACAACATGTCACAAACTTCTGTAACTTTGATGGTTTTCTTCTGTGGTTGAGTGCCCGGAGTAAACAAGGTAGTGATATTAGATGCCTTTTAAACTGTTTCCTGTTCATTTCCTCCATAGCTCTCTTCTGGAATGGTTTTGATGCTGAGTAGACCAGAAGAACTTTCTCAGGATTCGGGAAGACCCGACGATGCACAGACAAATGAACGTGAACAAAACACGTCTATCGCTTTGGACACCGAACAACCGCCAAACCAAGTGAAAGTCTTTAAAGTAAGATACTCATTCACCCGGGTCTTATCTGCTTTAGCCGTTCATGATTTGGAATTCCGGTGTTGATGAAAATCCGTGAAATGGGACACTCACTATTCATGATCCGAAAAAGCTTTTTCGTGTGGAAATGTGCCGATAGCGGAACGATTTTTGTAAAACGCCCCAGAGGCCGATTCTATTGGAATAACAGACATATCTGGTGCATCATCATCACTTTTTTGGAAATTTTTTTATTCTGTATAGCTCAGATTCGGAAGTCATCATCATCACTTTTGTAGAAAATGTTTTATTCTGTATAGCTCAGAATTCGGAAGTCCTCTTGTTAGTTAGGTTATCGTACTCCGATTCCGTACTACTGGTTTCTGCGTGTTCCAACAGTGATTCAAATGCGCCGCAATATTGAATAATGTAACCACTCTCTGGCACATATACCAGTTGTAGTAATTTTCAGATTGTTTGCTTGTTGTGCAGAAAAATCCTATGGTTTTATCCATTCAAAATCTCTGAAAGCAGCAACCCGCCGGGATTTTCCAGAAACTCAGTTCCTCTTCCAACGGTCGTTAAACAGTTCACATCGTAGTTACTGAAGCTTTGTTAGATATTCAAATGTTTCTTTTTTATCTGTGATCCAAGAACCTCGTCTATTTACTCAGTGATTTCTGGATCGGTATGAACAATATACGAAAAAAGTAGGAATAAAGCATTACACAAATACTAGCCAGGTAATCAAGGCATGACGCGAAAAGCACTTAAAATGCTGCAAACTTTCCTGCGACCACCAGTCTCTAGAAGTAGAGCAGTCTTCTAACCCGAATGTCGTCCTTTCCGGAACAGTAGATTCGTTCCACTAAGAGACCAGTTTGCCTTGTTCCAAGGGAATTTTACTGTTTGAATGATCAATGACGTATCGAGTTTTTCACAGCGGACCGCCACATTTTGGCCCTTTCAGCCCATACCAAGGACATTTTCTTCGGGACTACAAAAAACACAGACAATGTTTGATAGGGTAAGGTACGATAAGCGGGGATGCTGGGACGACAAGTGCAGCTTCTTTGTCACTTTCGGTGCGCATTATTGGCACTGACTGGTGAACTGGACAATTCAACTTGTAAGCGTGCTTCATCCCATCGGCAAAGCTATTGTGGCTCAAAGGTGTGTCCTGTTTATTCAGGCCAACGCTAAGGAGACTTCAGAATATTGTTGAGCTGAACTGTTTGGTGGCACTCGAGCTCTGGTGTTGTTATTACTTCAGGTGTACCGAGGTCCTTCGATGGTTAGATTGCAATTCGCGACCATCGGGGTTGTTCCGTGGAAATCACACAAATCACAGAACACTACTTCGCTAGCGTGAAACTGTTAAACCTAGGCAGTGAATGAATTATATGACCGTTGGAAAACACTGAAGCCAGAGCAGTTTTTCACATTTTCAACTGTAGATATTTTGGTAGGTTATGTGCCTTTCGGAATCGGGTAACAATCTCAGCGCTAGTAACATTGTGCTACCGGCCGTAAAAAGCGCAAGTTTAGCTTCCTGATGTGACATTCAGTAACTTTTGAGTGCAAACCACCTCAATTAGGTTTTTAAAAAGCGTCATAGCCGATAACACCAACATATACAGTTCAGAAGTGAACATGCGAGCGAGGTGGGCATTTAAAGGGAATCAAAATCGCATACATTTTGACAAAATGCTTTGAAGGCGTTGTTTCGCGAGAACCTCTCAGCGATACCTCTCTATCAAGCAAGAATTGGATGGCTTTATGTAGTAAAACCAGTTACAGTAGTTCTACGGCGTTATGTTATTTAACTAAAACGGAATCCGCAATTTGCATAATTGCAAGCGCAGCGTGGATTCCTGTGCCACCCAATGCCTTTCAAATCTGCATCATATCACGCAAGTTTAATCCGTTCCATTAAAATTGATTGTACGTTCATCCTATTTGACCTTCTAGCTGCATAAACGGGTAACTAAGTTGTAGACAGTAATTGCGTAGGCATCGTCTCTCAAATGAACACAGCTAGATAGTTCTGATTGTCCCAAAATCGAAAATCAATGTTTCCCCAGTTTGTAATCCATCCTGTGTTATTCGTGAACATGCGCGACTGTAGGGGGTGTGACGATCGATCGATTTTTTTATCTTTGGTGCATCAAGGAACTCATGGTTGATACTATATGGCAGTAAGTGTTCTTATGTCATAGAAGCATCCTAGGATTATCATTCTAACTGCTTACAGAGCAATGAGACAGCGAACAACAAGTTGCAGCAGATTGATTCTGAGACCATAGATCAAGTCGCACATCAGTTGACAAAATAACCTATTTTCACAAGAAAGCCACAAGTTGCTTTGTTAGTTTTAGAGTTAGAGGATTTCAAATGAAACTAAATTTTTGCATAAAGAAGATTTTTCGAAAGTCAACTGCATACCTTATAAGCAAGTCATTTGGCACCTAAGGGCTCACCCCTAGGTAGAATTACTTTAACCGAGTCTAACCAGTGATTCTTCTTCACAAAAAAGCTATGGAGTCACGGTGACTGAAGATTTTTTTCTTTCAATGGCTACACTGTCGCCCACGTCTGTTTGTGGGAAGACTATGAGGATAAACCATTATCCCATTACGAAAGCCATTAGACTGCATTTTGTGCCAAGGTTGACCAAGCTCATGGGACTGACAACTTACTGCTTTAGCTGGGGGCAGTCCATATACACCACTGACTTGCGCTTCCTTGTGTTTGATTCTTAAGCATCAATAAGATTCATTTTATTTCACCTCTGGTTAATCATTAAGTTCTAATGTGATATACTCTCACAAACAAAACCACATACAGGTAGTCAGCACCATTTGTCCTCTTGCTGGAAATCATCCTTAGCATCTCCCCATAGTCGAAATTGGGATTTTGAAATTATTTTGTTCCGTTTTCAGTGTACATCCAAATAACAGGTCTAAACAACGCTAGAGAGCGGTTATAACACGGACAGGTAGATTTTCTAACTTTTCATATCATTCTTTCAGGTCCAAATATCACCGAATCCGGAAGACACTTTCCAGAACATACTTTCACAACTGAGAGGATGTTTGTCTGGTAGTACTCCCGCACGAGACGTTTGAAACCTCAAATTGTGCTCAATAGGAAATCAGGTTCTTTATTTAAAGACAACATGACAAGTGCCATGCACCACCTTATCGCAATCTCTTCAATCTGACAACATACCCTTTTGACCGTATAAGGGTTTACGGCCTGCGGTTCCAGAAGCCTCACGCTTTCATCTCCTTTGTTATAACGTGTGGAAGCTGTCCCAATCCAAACGCATTTTCTTTTTTTCTCGTATCTTATTTGTCTGCCATGTACATGGCGTTTTTGAACTTTTCATCATTCATTTACTTTTTATGCTTGCACTGTTTGCCTTTTATGCATGCCGCATAAATACATCACCTTTCCATTGCTATCGCCTTTTTGGGTCAAGTATATAAATACATGACGGTCATCCCCGTCGGTAAATTACACTGCGGAGAAATTGCATCTCTAGGTTGGCATTCTGCCGTTTGGCAAATTATCTCCCTGGAAAATTTTACAGCGAGTTCATAACTCAGAATTCCCAACTAGGTGCCAACAATAAAATGGACAGGGTAATTGCCAGAAATCAGAGACAGCAGTGAAACTTATGCAATAATATCTAAAGCCTTGAAGCAAAAGGAGAATAGATTGGATGAGGGTGGAACCTGATGCAGGCCAATCACAGGCATTCTGAAGTACACACACCTCCAAGTGATCAGGCAGACAATCTGGGGAATAATGACAGCACGAGTGCCAGTAAGTTCAATTAACTGCCATTTCTTGCAGTCTCCAACCAAGCGCAGAGGACCCCATTCTGGAAGGCAGACCGTATCAACAATGTGTAAACTCTGTGTTACCTCCTTCGCACCCTTTCGCCTTAATATGAAAGGTGCAGAACTTGCCTGAAAGACAAGGAAATGTGGGTGTTGCCGTACCTAGATGCATTCTGTCTGGAGACGCTACACGATGTCCTCGATAACCAAGGTCAGTAAGAACGCTTCAGACTTAAGGTTTCATCCTACAAGTGAGGTCAGTCTATGCTGAAAAGCTGTAAAGCACTTTACAAGTGTTTCAACTTTGTTGCAAGTCATCTGCAATGTGCACCACCCACATCCAGAGGCTTTTCAGACCCCTAACCGTTAGTAGCTCAACATTATGCCAGTCGCCAGTGAGTGGCTGGCCGGCATCACAATCAACTCCGTACCGAGAAGCAGTTTGTTTTACCCGATCCGACGCCATCTGACTTAAGCGGTCAACTCTTAGACAGAAAGTCATCGCAACTTGCAACTTTTTTCTTCCTAGTGAATGGCTCATGATTTGTCAGATTACATGATATCCAATTCGACATTGATCGCTGGTGATTGGTCACTCGTGGCCGACCCGTATAAGGAGCGGCTACTAACCGGAAATTAGCCATTTCGAATTTTGCTAGATGTCCGTGTGATACAAGCTAGTGACTCCCTGCAACAGAAGTGAAATTTCTGTACAGTACATTCGCTTGTAACCATGAACAAACCAGTGTGTAGGAAGTAATCCACATCGGAACCATGGAATTTCCCCACTACCTACAAACTACTTAGATTTTACCTCAATCTCCTGGATTAGGCATCGTTAAGCTATCTTGATAAGCTAGCAGTTGGTCACTTTTTATTTTCTTCACTGCGACAAGTACGGTGCTAGTTTTCAGCTTTTTGCAGAGTATTATTAATGGCCTGTCTAACAAAGTAAAGTCATCCCCAATAATTATGAAGTCTTTTATATCTCAACAAGAGAAGCTCTAGCACCTTGAAAACGTGAAACACTCTGTAAGTTTACTTATGTACACTGTGCAAATGTCTGGATTTTTACAACTGACGCAAAACATCCCTCAGGTTGGAACTAAGTGAATTGGCTGACACGATACACCTGGTTCAGTGCAGCACAAAGTACATTCTGGTGAATAATTTCGTAATTATGCCCGCCTGACTTGAAGACCTCACAGCTGCAAGATATAATTCGTTTTGGGGCTTAGAATTACAAACCAAGCCATGAGCGATGTTCACTGCGCCAGTGATAGGCCTGATGAATGGTATGTGAAAGAGATAGACGTACTACTCAGACTAGGTCGAATTTAAATCATGCGAGATGAAGACTGTAACTCCCAAGAATGTCTATCTCAGCTTCGTTCAAGGTGTTGGGTTTTCAACAGAGTCAGGGAATGGCCAATTGCAAACCTAGAAGTAGTGACGAGTATACAGAAGGATAGCACAGCCGCTGCACTCTTTTTGATACATGCAACTCCGGGCGACAAAAAATGTCCTGGCTAAAAGAATGCTGCACCTCACCGCAGGACATGCTGGACCGAACAACTCTTCTTCAACTCTTCAACTCTTTTGATTTGAAGGATTGGAAATATAGTGACGTGAATTAGTCCTAGGTACCAGTATGCTCCTGGCTAACTGGCTCGAGAGGTTCTTTGATGTTTCTTCAACGGTTTGCACGACGATTGTTTTGTTGAAACAATGCATGGTAGCTATGCCTAAATGTGTACACACATAAAAAAGATACCATTTCCCTGAGTACTGTGGCGATATAAGATTTCTAATCCAATATCGCTTTGTTGCATGCGACTAGTCTCACAAACCTGTGGGTCTTTACTGGCAAGAAAGAGTTCCTAACGGGCTGGTTCAAAGCTCGCATACTAATCCGGATGTAAACGGTCGTGGTGTTCATTGAGGAGGATCATTCTACAGATTGCTCGTTCCGTAATAATACTTATCTTGCGACGGCAGTATTGCAGGTACACGAGTTACGCTAATTCACTCCGGGCTTCTTACCCGAAGTTTGTTTTCATTACCTATGGATGATGTCTTACTCGATGTTTCCTACTGAGCAGCACATCAATGGTAATTTCTAGTCGCCCCTTACATAAAGTCTAAAGGCACAGTCAGGTAGAAACATGAATTCAATAATCTGCACTCAACAGTCGTGTAGCTACCGAGATTTATAAGAATGGGATTCCCTGAAGTGCCTTATCCCGAGATGAATGAGTAATTGTTGTATACCAGGACCTCTCCGTCAGCAGTTTGCTTCATGCTGTTTAACCTGTTTCTAAATAAAAATCCTGAAACACTAAGCGAATGTCATCATCAGTATGTCTTTGATGCCATTCATGAAAACTGAGCAAAAGCCGATGGTCCTGGAAAGCTTTTTGAAAAACCTCAGAGGAATTGCGCACGTGCTTATGTGTATGCAGAACCGAATACAAGTCCGTTTTTGAGCCGTTTGCTGTAATTCTATTCACGAAGAAGTTTTCAAAAGCTATTCACTATCAACACTGACCTGGTCCTCCCCAATGTTTTTTGAAAGAAAAAATAATAACACAAATAAATTAGTACTAGACATGCAGGACAAATTCGTCTGTCCCCAGAAGACTTAAAAACAAAAACAAAAGTAACTGTAAGAAAATATGACGAGAGTGTGAAACTAGAGTTATGAAAGGAGCGAAAATATTTGGATGGAGGAAAAAGATACTTAACAAAGTTTATTCAGTGGATTCGGTTCTGGTGGCTCCTCTGGAATGTACCTTTCTTCATCCAGTTCAACGACAGCTGACACGTAAGATATACAACTATCAGCCGGTGTTACATCCGGATACGACCACGCTTGACCCATAAGTTTGAATTTGGCTAGCTTTCGCATTTGGTCAACAACCTTCTCCTCATCCATGCTGATGAGCGTGTGGAGGTTTACGTTCAGGAGTTGCCGAACCATGAATAGTAAGAGTGCAATTATTTGGTTGTCCAAAACTTTAGCTTTGGTATCAAGCAGAAACTCATCAAAAGGTCTAAATCGTAGCTCTTTCATTGCCGCAATGGCTCGCTCATCAAAAGCTTTGATGCTATCCAAAACTGTGGGCGCATCCGGAATCTGGGCATTGAATCCGTAAATATCACCTAAGACAAACGATGACAATTTGATGGACCGAAAACAAAGCACTTACCCCAGTGACATAGACTTGCGGAAAATATGAATGCATTCTCCGGTTCTTGTAAATAATCACGGAAACGACGTGCCACAACTGTGAGCTGATCATGTGCTAACGTCCCAACATAGACTGGAACCACCTTGAAGTAGCCTTTCTGACTAAAGTGGTAAATACATCCTATCAGTACACGTATCGCTTACTTTTCCATCACTTTTGAAATGAAGGGTAATTGCATTTCAATAGACTGCTCTTTGGTATCCGTTGGGAAGTCGAGGTAGGTGAAGTCACCGGTTTTAATCAGTTTGTCATTGGCTTGATGAACACAATGCGGGAGGTAGGTGTATTACTTGCGAGTTTGGGGAAGAAATCAACTTTAAATGTAATCCACCGCATCGTACGTTCACCAAGTTTCTACCTTGTGTCTCAACATATTTCCACCTCATAGCAACCGCAAAATTCAAACCAAGTCACCTAATCAAGAGCACACAGAACTGGTTTTGTAAGATTTCCGCAGCCTTGTCAGTCTGAACCCAGCACCTGTTAAGTGCAGCTATTTCGGGTTTGAAAAGGACTCCGTGACGGTTGGTTTTCCACAATGAATCCTAGGGGTTCAAGGTATGTTGAGCGGTGGTGAAGAACCAGCAATAGCCGTTTTTTTGACAACCGTGGATGAGCTTCGTTAGGAGAAAAATGATCGAAGTCACAAGGAAAAACCGAATGTTGACTGTATTTATCAACTTAAGCTGCACCCGAAAATGTCACTATCACACATTATCACACACTATCACACATTCGAAGGAATTAAATGACTCCGAGATCTAATTACATCAGAAAAAGATGATCTTCCATATCCTGCAGAAGCCATCAATATCAAACTTTTATTATTTCAAAAATCAAAACAGCCCTTCAAAAACGACAATGACCAGCGATATCTCATATAAGCGCTTCAGAATATGGTGAACTTGATCCCACAAAAAAAATACGTTCACTTTTTAAAGACAATATCTTATATGGAATATCACGTTCATCCTTGACAAAATTGACTCCGAAAATAAGGCTCTTAAACATCACAGATATATGCGGCGGAACAAATGCCTAATACAAAATCAAATCCCATTTCAACATCTACATACGAACTATCGAAGGAGAGCACTGTCAGTCTGTCCGGTTGTCCCGAAGTCCTAGGAGCAACCAGATGTTCGGATTTGATGTCCCACGAAAAGCTCACAAGGAGGGGGCGCCACTCAGGCTACTTGTGGATTAGACGATAATATCGAACTACATTCCTGCAAACATTCGGTACGGAATGACCTAGTAAGCAACAGTAGACATGCTCTCTTGCCTTTGCACGTACCACACATATTTCCAAATTATTGATCAGCTAAAAATCCAGAACAAAATGTCGCCAACAGTCCAAAAATGTTCACAATGTTCGAATTTCTATTCTGTTGTACAGTGATGAAGTACGCGGTGCTGGCCAACCTCTCGTTTACAGAAGGCTCAGAACAATGAAAAGATTAAGTACAGATTCGTGATACTCAAATAATGGCAAGTGTATCCATACTTCCGAGTGCGTGTCGAAAGTTTTGTGTACACCTTTAGACGCCTCAGAAAAACGCCATAGGCCGGTATATCGTCTCTGTGCTGAAATGCATCATTTATACAAACTAAAAGATGCTTTGTCCTTCGGCGTGATGTGCCGAGAAATTCAAATATGTAACATATGCCACTTAAGATCGACATGGGCCAACCCCGGATTAAAACTCAACTCTTGCAATATTTTAGCAGTTTAGAATGTGAACACAGGAGAGGAAACCCGGAATCAAATAGCCAGATACACATTCAGAACAAGCATTTTCGAGCGAATTAAATTATTTAGCAGTCACATAATAGTATGATGTTAGTGGCTCAGCTATCAGCCTTGCTACACTGGATTAGAAGTGAAGACGGAAGGTGTTTAGTTCCACAGTGAATCTGCAATAGCGCGTTTCACTTTCTAGTGGCTAAAATTTTTCAGCCCACATGTGAAGTAATGTTGACGCAGGAGGTCTCGCACTCAAAGTAGCACTCACCTCACAAACGTGAAAATAATTAGGGGAGAAAAAATATTTTCAAGCCTTACTCTCTTGATCGACCGGCAACTTTCCAAGTGGTGAGTTTAAATAATCCATTTGTGAAAGTGCACAGGCGTATGGAAGGAAATGTGATGTACGTCCAATAATGAAGATGCGGCGTCTAAAATTTTCAATATAAGAGGAAAAATATTAATCCGCTTACATCACTTCAGGACAGAGCTTTGAATAAGCCTCCGCCATCATTTTACCACAGATTCGGTAGCTTCCGTTGCTAAACCTTAATTGTGAACACCCAGGTAGACATTACGGGACAAGTAATATCCTCGTTTTTGTATCATGTGTCCTTTCGGAATTCTGCAGAGCCTCGTGGATAAGTTCCCAAACATGGACAGCTAAAGGATTAGTAACACACTGTTCCCCTACCTTCATCCGGGTAATAATGTGAGCGATGATACAACAATGGCCTTCCGCGGAACAATACTGGAGAACGCATTTCAATTTTGTAACGGCAACGGTTTCCAGTGCGTGATTTACACGCGAGTAAAATACACCTTGACACATTCAAACAAATGGACAGCCTTGCCACCATTTTGAAGGACAAACCTAAGAGATTCTGTGGTTATCACCTTTTCAATCACTTAAAAATCGGTCTTGAACTTTGAATGGTCCCGATGACAAACCAAAACTATCGGCATAACACCGGCGATACGATCCGCCAGACCAAAGAGTTCAGTATTCGCACAATAGATTCGAATTTTTGAAAAACATGACGTGCCCCTGGAGGACTGTGGCAATCAAGCGATTGAATTCGAAGCACCAGTTTGATCTTTTGAGCCTCATTTAGGCATCCCAGGGCCTCAGTGATGCTGCAAAATTATTCCACCAGACTTTTCCGCAGAGGTACGATAGCAAAAGTGGACGCGCGCGGTACGTTCGAAATCGGTTTCGTTTTTCCCTCGTGCAAACTCGTGAAAATTTTTTTTGTTGTTCAATCTATTCACAGAGTACACACGAGTAATTGTTGAATTTTATTACTCTAACAAAACATTTGAGTGATAACCCTTCATATTTTGCGCACACCTATTTTACATCTAGTCCGAAACATGACGTCAATCCATACCGATCGCCCTCCGCAGCCATTGGTAGACCACAATAGATGTGGGCGGAATGGCTGCCCGTCGAACGTCAAACGCGGTATGCAATGCCACGCCTGCAAGGCCTGGTGGCATTTCAAATGCACGGGTTTACAGGACGACCAAATAAGCCGACTAGCCAACTCTCCTGACCCGTTTGTCTGTGCCAGCTGACTCTATGTCAAGGGTGCGATGCATACCGCAGCGAAGAGAAGAGTCCCCCGAAACGGTACCCAACCCCCAGTGCAGATCCCGAAAGACCACTGCCAGTGTTCCGCTTTAATCGGGATACTCGACGCGAAAATAGAGCGTCTTTCGAAGGCACTGGAGGACTCAGGCGCTAAGAATGCAGCGACCTGGGCGAAAGTCGACAAGGAACATTCCTCGCTGAACCAATACCTCGCGATGTCCATACCGGGTCCCATGGCTGAGAAGAAAGTCATACAACTTTCTGACGCGGCTATAAAAACCGCCACAGCGTCGCTAGTGGAAAGACGCCTAAGGGAAAACAGGCTGATAATCTGGGGGTCGTTCTCCGGAAAAATCACGCCAGCGAAGCTGGCACAGTCGATCCTCAGCAAGCCTGATCAATCACTCCACGCAGAATGGCTACGCCAAGAGGGAAGTAAGCGAACCCTTGGACTTCTAGTTACTCTTTCTTCCCCGTCCGACGTACAGGCAATCTTGGAGCGGGCTGGCAGCATTCAAAAGGCCATCCCAAAGAACAAAACCGACCCGGGAAACTTGGGCAAATGCCTCGATCCGGTGTATCAATCCGTGAATATCATTACAGAATATTGTTGGATGGTGGTGACGATTGTTCACGTGGTCATAATGTGCCTCATTAAGTCCAGGCGTAAAACTATAACTTTCACATTTTGAGGAGGCTGAAAGCAAATGTAGTTCAACACTCTTGTTATTTAGCTTGGCAAAAGAATGCGCACAAACCATGGAAGAGTCACAAGGTTTTCAAACCACTGACCACCGGGGTTACCGTATCATAGCCAGCTTGGTGGCTGTAGCGATTACGCAAAGACTTGGTGCGTAATGCAACGGAAGTCTGAAAACAGCAGATCAAACTTACCGGGTTTAGGTGATTGTTGGCATGTCTGACATGGGCCCAACCACTGTTTACCGAAGGAAGCGTTGTTTTTAGTTCCGAGGCATCCTTTTTGGATGGGATGCGAGGGACTTGGAATGGTAGCGTGAAATGAAGACAAATTAAGCCCCATGTGGTTCTCATGCCCT